ATTCCATAACCAAGGCTTTTGCTGTCAGTTGCGCCTTTGATATTTCAGTGCGGAAATGACTCCTCCATTCATGTTAATTCCCTTCCTATGCATAATGGTAAATGGCCACACATTTGATCTAATTGACCTGTTTACACTGGCAAGAAAAGTTTGCAATGGACTGAAAATTTGTATTTACAATTTTTTGGTGTGTTTTTCTTGTACTTCCTTCATTTAGAAGCAGCTGAGACTAGTAAAGCAGGTATTTAAATGCATATTCTTCTTATTGTCAGAGAAAAATGCAAGATCATGCACCATATAGCATCACCGAAGTTAGCAACGAGAAGGCATATAACCGCATCATTTATGCCATTATTCCCACGACTAGCTGCTGACACACCATTATCTCCTTTCCTATTATGGACGATGTAGATGATGACAAGGATAGTGGCAGATAGCTATGCAACAATCGTGTTGAGTTTTTACATATATATTAAGTGGCAGTGCAAGAGATGGCTTGTTTATCTCCTCCTCCACATCTGTTCATCGCCCGCCTCTGTGCTGACTGCACAGATATGTCTGCGCTCACATCTGTGCGGAGCAGTAGCACAGTGAAATACTAGTAATCTATGGAGTGGGCTAATGCTCTAGTGACATGGTAGCCACTTACCATTGCCACGCATTGCCTCGTCTCGCCTAATCTCGCCTCGAACCACCTGGGGATCGTTTCCCCTGTGTCAGCTCAGATGCTCAGTTGTTCACACACTCAATGCATACAATCCATGAAGTGAGTGTGTACGCAGATTTTGCAAAAACAGAGGCACTGATAAATAGTCCTGTGCCAGTTGTTCTCTTCCAAGTGAGCCACACAAATGTCCCGCCTCAGCTACAATCCTCTCAATTGACCTTCTTCATGGCACGAACACACGGCGATTCAAACCAGCCAGGCAGCCACCTTCTGGCTCTGAGCATTTGTCTTTCTCTCGGTCTACTAACTTTTTCCATTTATCAATTTTTCTTTATTCTTCTACATTCTGCCATTAAAACTAGACTGAAGCTCAGAATACATTTTTTTGATTTCAGACACACCTGCCGAGGGAAGCCATTGCACTACAATGGCAATCTCCCAGTTCCTTGGTCAAATAACACATCTTACAGTTCGTCCTACAAGGTAGACGATGGTGGGCTTCGAAACTTGCGTGCAAGCCTGCACATTTAAGTGCTTTAAAATTTGACTTTCGATGGAATGGCAACAATTCGTAGTTTGTCAGAATTAGGGGTACAAATTGACCGCTCACTTGGATATCTGCGCGAGGGAAGGAAGGTAAGGTAAGGAGAGGAAGAAAAGGGCAATTAACTATATTATCAGATCATCTTTTATCCTTATTGAATGTGTTTTGACCCGGTTACCTCTATCAATGCACCTTCGCAAGCAAGATGAATTTTTTTAAAAGCGATGACACGCTTAGCAAGTTGAGCAGTGGTAGTGAAGGGAAATCGTTGAATTGTAACGCCAAGAGAGGCCTTTCTAACGCGAAGGTGAAGTTCGGTGAAACCTGACTTCTCTCATCCATCCACGTAGTTCAGCAAATTACAATTAATGCCTTGTCTTTAATTATGCTTAACATGACCATTATCTTGGCATGTCTTTTCATGGTATATTTGCACATTTTAAAGAATGCCTCATTACTTTACATTTTTGCTTGTACCATTTAAACATGGTTGGGGTGTTTTCTCGCGAGGTGCCCGTAAGGAATAGTAGTTTTACCGCAACCTATGCCAAGATGAGTGACAGTTGGTAGTGTAGACCTGTAGATGGATGGGCCGGTGTGCATCAGGGAGGGTAAGTGAGGAAGCGAGTAAAATAAATTGAATTTGGAGATGATAGACGTAGAAAAGTTGAAAGTCTTCTTTGCCTCTTTGTTGAATGTTACACCCAGTGGCCACCATGGCACAGAAGAAGATTGGTGTTTGAGATGGCCAAGTTCGGCGTGGTGGGAAATAAGACGATGACTGATGAAGATGAGGTTAATAAAATCATTAAAGTTAAGGGCTGTCTGCGAATCTCTTTCTAAAATATAGTAAGTAGATGTGTGGAAAAATAGTTGGATCATTCCACATTTGAAGGCATATTAAATCAGCTTTGACTAAAGCAGAAACGGACTACTTAAAAAATGGATCTGCAATACTTCTTTTCTCAACCAGTTGCCATAGATCTGCCTAGTCATTTTGGGTGATGAACAGTTGGATAAGTTAAGAAGTTGGGGGTTTTGACAAGAGAAGAGGTGGAATTAACAGAGCATTCATAACTCAGAGTACAAGCACACCCGATTTTGCAAGCAAATGTCTACTGAGCATCATTCGGTAGTGTCGGTATTCTGTTGTAAAATTACAACATCTACTAGGCTCGCTCGACTACTGGACTGGTTTGCTCAAGACACCGCACCACGTTGGAAATTGAGCTCAATTTCCAATGTTAAACCTCGGCTGGTGCGGCGAAGTGCTCAACAAACACACTTGTGAATTAGATGGACATTGTAAATATTTGATTCAGATATATCTGGCTATGGGCACCAATCCATGGACAGGGTGCCAGTGCCTATATCAGATAGGCATTGGAGTGACGTAGATGAAGACAAAGGAGATGATAAAGGAAAAGAAGATGGCTAAGATAGGAAAAAGGGAAGGGATGAAGGGCGAAAGTGTGAAAGAAGTAAGAAAGAAAATAAAGAGTTAAACTTTATGGTAGGAGTAAGAGCACGGGCGTGAACCAACTAAGAGGTAGATGAGGCGTCTCTGAGAGAGGCTGGATGTGTCGTACTGCGTGAGCATCCTTGCATATGCATCAGTTACGTCTCCGCGTCTTCGTCATTATCGCCTACATTATTTTTTCTTTTTCACCTCTTATTTTGCCAGTCACTCGATCCTTATTTGATTTGTAGATCTGGCAAGCCAGAAGAAGAAGCATAATCGTATGAGTTGGCCAAGGCGCAAGTAGAAGTGAAAGTAGTCTGCACTTTCTCGCCACTCAATAAGTATCCCGTCGGTGGTAGCCCAAGGTTCTCAACGAATTTGTAAATCCTGCATGTTTAGGGGAAGAGATTTCTTTAAAAACTTCTTCTAATTGACCTCACTTCATCTCCTCCCTCACTTTTAGCGATCGCGGTAGGGAAGCTGAGTCCTCCGTGGAGCACATGAGGCAATGCGACGTCTATTCTGCGGATTTGTCGTTAACCCATGAAATGAGGATTGGGGAGTTAGCTATGTGGATGAAACAGTGAAGAGTGAGAAACTAGGCGTAAGCAATGGCAGTAAATTATTCATGCTAATGACTGAGGTAAATGGAACACGTTCATCGCATGTGAGAAGGTTTCATTCACTTATACAAGCATTTTGGTAGTTGAGCTACATAGGCAGAGGAAGCAGGTTGGTATAATGAGAGACCGATGATAGAAACCGTGTAGAGCATGAACAGAATCAGAATAATCAATCTATCCCTTCACCCGGCCCCATCATCGTCTAAGTTGTCAGAGATTTAACTGGAATAGGCGCACGAATTATAACGAGTTCGTGGGAAATCAGCGCTGTTCTTCACCACGGTAGCAGAAGGTAAGAGGGGAGTGACAAGTGTGTAAATCTCACCAAAGGCATTCACATCCGCTTACCACTAGACATCCAGTGGGTAAAGTAAATCTCTCAATCTCATTATATCTCAGTTAATGGCACGACTCTGCGAAATAGCATTCTAAATTTTACTAAGAGTCTAATGAATCGTGGATGACAAGCTACGGGGAATCAGATGAACGGTGTCGGTTTTTAAGTCGTATAAAGTTGATCAGAGGGCATGCTCACACATTTGGTCCTGGCTACCTACACAATGCTATGATTTAACGCATTACATCGCAACGTTTCTTTAATGCATGTATCTAGGTTTCCAAGGCTATTGACACTGAATCAGGTTTCAAAGCCTAAGGCCAGGACTGATCTGCTTGCAAAAGGTAGAAGCCATTTGGATTGCAGACGTTACTGAGGTAGGCATGTAATAACACAATATTTACCACTAAAAAGATGCACGGTGACTGCAATAAGGAATTGTGAAAGTAGAAGAATAGATGTGATAAAAGGAAGTC